TGCCGGTCCCGCTCCGAGGCCCGGTGGTTGTCCGCGTCCTACCGGGGGACGGGAGCAGCGCGGACAGCGCCCCCGAGCCCCGCCACGGGGGGCAGCCTGCGCGCAGGTGAGCGGGGGCTTCAGGTGGTCTCGAAGGCCACCTTTGCCCGTTGGAGCTGGCGCCCAGGCCCCTCCCGAGGCGTGCTGGAAGAAGGGGTGATCCTTTTTGAAACTTCCCTCACGGAGTGACTCAGAGCGACTTAAGCAGTTGCCTGTGGGTGAGGTCTGGTGTCAGGCTTCAGCCGCTCCGTGTCCGCCGACCAGGAGGCCCCAGCCATCTGTTACCCTCCTCGCGTTCCCCCTGGAAGTGTTAGGTGTTTTCCAGAATTTCCAGCAGCGTCCCTGTTCTCTGCGATGATGCACTCCGCAATTGCGTGTTGAATAGGTCGAGTCTGTCTGTGCAGACTGCTTTGGCAGAGCTCAGGATGTCCTCTCAGACTAGGCCTGGCCTGATCCTGCTTTTCATCTGTCTACCACCAAAGGAGGTAAAGCTTAGTATAATCTTAGGGTTTTTTGTGGTTTGGTTGGTTGGGTTTTTTTTAGCTCTTGAAAATATTTGTAGTGCTGATAAGGTGGTACTCCATGGCTATCTATAGCCTGCCTGTAATTACCATTTCCCTTCTCACATGCGCTGGCTGATGTCAGCCAGCTAAAAGCAGCATAAAATGGATAGGCTGTAAGGGCACACACCACGATAGATGTACGCCGAGTACAGAACAGCTTGAGCCAGTTCTAAGAGGTAATCCAGTACCAGGTTTTTTCCCCTCATTGCTCAGCTTCGGAGCTATATAAAGACCAGAGGAGAATCAGGTACATCTGCAAAGTGTGGATGAAAGGCAAGTTGATAATCGAAATGCAAAGCAGACATATGCTTTCTCTCAAACTCCCTTTTGCCAACTTTTACAATTTTATCACAAGTTTCATAATCAGCATTCTTAAAGCTCCTTGGATCAAGTGGTTGTGCAAGAATTTCGACTTATATTTTCACTGTTGTGAAATAAAGCTTGAAAATGTGACTGGAATATTTATTTCAGAGGCAAAAGTAGAAAACAGACAAAAGG